CCCTAAACCCTACCAGACCGACCACAGGGTGCTGTCCAAGCGTCTTCTTCTTCTCGCCGTTGACCCCTGAGCAGTAGTTGAGCAGCTTGTCGTCTCCTCCTGGACGTGTCAATAAAGTCTGAGAACTCCACCCGGAACCTTCGAACATCAGCATGACGGACTACCGTTACTCCTGATCTTTCTTCACTACATCTGCGATCGCGATATAGAGCTTCGTCCTTACCATTACCGTCCTGTTAACCGGAGTCTGATCTGTGCCGCCAGTCACAGTTCTGACAGCAGATGTGTTGGCTTCGTTTTTGAATTTGGACTGATGACGCAAGGGCTTCCAGCGGTCAATGGAATCAGCCGAATTCCAAGCGATGCTACCAGTGCTGTACTGCTATTGACAATCTTATTCGTGTCATTGCTGTCGTTACTACCTCCTCAGAAAACAGCAGTGCTGCCACTATTGTGCCATTCATATATTCTCAGTGTTGGTATACCATCGTTGTCATCATTGCCAGTGTGCTTCGTTCTCAGTGTCTCATGAGGGCTATTGCGATTATGATGCTCGTCACTATTCGTATCGATGTCAGTATCCTGGTCGCGGTGTCACTGTTATTGTCAAAGCCATTACCCCTGTTCTTCCAGAGTTCTGGTGCTGAGTCCGCCATCACTCTTGACATTCACGGAATCAGCTGTGGGCGGTTGAGTGTAGGCTTAGGAATTACAGGGTTTAGGGCTTGGCATTCCCCCAAATCTCTCGACACGGGGATCCTTAGCTTAACTGACCCGTGAGCCCTAAGTCCCTAAACCGCCAGCAACAAACCTGAGGAAAGAACCGACGACGATTTCATACTGTTGACTGCATGACCCAAATATGATATAATACCATAAATCCCATAGTTTAGGTAGATAAGGTCATGCAGGATTTTGTCCATCAGCCGTACATCAGCAAGTAGCTTAAAGACCACTCAGCCACTATAGAACCCCATGCCTCCGCCACCACCCCCCCCCTCCCTACCCCCCTACCCCCCTACCCCCCTACCCCCCCACATTCTAGGCCAAACGGCTATCAACCTTACCGAAACAAACCCTCTAAACTTCCAAACTCCTCATGGCCCACTGCCCTCGTCTCCCAAATAACAAACCGCATATGCTCCTTCAAAAAAACACCTGAAACCCCACATACAAGCCGAGGGCCTCGACTAATTTCTCGCGCCAGGTCGTACAACTCCTGACTTCTTCTCTTCATTGTCTTCTGTGGGCTTAGGGCCTTTAGGGTCTTGGTGCGGGGGCCTAAACCCTACATCCTGAACTTTCTCTCCTTGGGTGCTGGTTGCTTCTGTTGGCTTCTGCTTACGTCAGGTCGGGCTCGAGTCTCCCGACACAGGATTTGGTGTCTGGCCTTCGGTGCCTGGCTTGGGCATCATCTTTGGGGTAAGCTTTGAATGTCTGTGCTTTGGGGATTTTGAGGCGGATTTTGGTTTGCAGTCGAGGGTAAGGCAATGGACGGTTTGAAAGAATAAAATTGAGAGGTCTAGACATACACTTTTTTCAACATGGTGCCAGAGTCTGCAATGCCCCTTTTGGCGTCGGATCTGCTCCAAGTAACTCGTTATCGAATCTCATCCTCATCATGTGGACACGGCCGTACCTTGTGCTGCGCTGCCGCTGCTTCCGTTGAGGGCTTGCAAAGTCCGGTCCGTCCGTCAGGGCGCGGAAGCGAGACAGCGTCTGAAGTCGGCAACGCTGTGGAGGTCCCCTTGCAGTCATCTCATGTTTCCGGGGCGCGTCCTGCAACGGCCCATGGTCCATGTTGCCAAGGTATGCCCTGCATCGTCAGGGCATCGGAGCAGTCTGCCGCCCTTGGCCCTAATCAGCATCCCACCACGAAGAAAACCACTGGCCCATGCGCTCGAACAAGCCACGATCGACGTCCTGCAGCCATTCGCAACGAAAAACATTGCTGCTACGACGACAAAACAAACAACTACTGCTCCGCTGCAATCGAA